ATTTACAAGGACAGGCTGGCACACGGTGTGCCATGGATGTGATTTAGCTGGGACCTCCAAGGAACACAGTAAAACAAAAGCTGCTCCAAGCTGATAAGGGTTGAAAAAGAAACTCAAAATGCATCAGGGCTCTGAAGCCTCTCTGTTATTGTGGCATCTCCAGGATAACCTGTTCGTCAGCTCCGTGCTGAACCTACCCCAGAGGTCTGGCAACTGTGGCAAGTGGCACAGGCAGCGCGAGGCAGTTTTTGAACAAGGTTCAACAGAGCAATACTTAGCACCAAAAAGGTTTTACCCTGCAGTTCTCATGAACCCTGAAAGGAAAAGGCAGATAACCCAAAAGCCTGGATATGGCACTAACGATCAAGAAACAGCCTGGATTCAATTCCACTCCCACCTCTACTGTTGTGCAACATTTGAGACAGGGCACTTGAAGCCTCTTGAGCATGCACCTTCATGAGAACTCAGCTTTGCAGTAAGCAATCCCATAATACCGGGGGTTGTAGGAGTGTGGTCTCTGTGAGACTGGGGAAACTGAGGCCCAGTGCCTGACAAATGGCATCCTGAAGGAAGAGACCAGACACCAGACCAATGCAGACAAGGCAGTGCCCCTTGTGAATGTAACATCTTCCTCATCTATACTTCCTTGCTTCCCATTTCAATAACTGCCAGTGAAGAAAACAGAAAACAGGAGTTGGTGTAGGACAGAGATGTATTTCTCTGACACCATGCTGAATACCATCATGCTGAGACATCACAACCTTTGCTTGAAGGCAGCTCAGAAAGAGCATAAAGGAGTTGAGGGGTTGTTTGCACATGACTAGGGAGATATTTAAATGAAAGCAGAGCCTGGTAAAGGAAAATAAACCTGATGTGATGCAGCATTTCAAAGCTGAAGATTGTTTTCATACAGGCCCCCAATACCATGCTTTTCCACAGCAGCCTCATGGCTATGAGACACCTCACTGGGGTAGGGCAGATCCAGGTCAGACACTGGTGTAATGCTCATCACTGATGACACTTCGTCTCTGAAGCCCCAAACCAGACCAACCTCGGATTTCCACTTCAGATAGAAGTCCTACATTTTGGCTGGGTCTTCTTCTTAGTCCATTGCCAGGCCCAGCCCGCCCCTCTGCCAGCCTGCAGGCAGCTGCAGGATTAGCTGGAGGATCCCAACTTGTTCGCTTCCTACCCAAACAAGTTAATAGACAGCCAGATTAACCTCATGCTCTACACTCCTCTTGGTCTGATATATGAAAAAAAAACACAGTAGAAAACAGACTTACAATAGGGGCTCAGAGCCAGGCTAAAAATCATTGCTTGCACCCTACAGTCTCAAAAGAAGGGAATATAGGGTACTGTCAAACAACAGCCAAACCAGGAACATCATCCCTTTTGTATGCCTCTATCCAGCCTCATCCTCTTTTTACTTCTCCTTATTAACACAGCAGAGCACAGTGCTAATTAAGCCTGATTTTTCTTTCTTGGATGTAGGCCCTAATATGATTTAAAAATAACCTTAATGTGGTATTTGTAATTCTAGCATTTACCTCTCCCCATGATTTCCAATATGATGTGACTGCATTTTTGGCTCAAGAAGAGCTTCTGTAACGCTTTAAAACACCAGGAAAAAGCTCCAGTGAGACCTCGTTCCTATTGAATAAATGATGGGACATGAACAGAGCACAGAATATTTGAATATCCTTTAAACATCACCAAAAACAGTTAATTAGTTAAGCTCTACAAAGCAAAACTGAACCTCTGGGGAGGCAGACTGCTTTCCCTGCATGGCCATCCCCAAATCAGGACAGATCTATGACATCCAAATCCTGACACCCCTCTAGCACACAGCCAGAATGTCCCTTCTTGGATATCAATCATAGAGTCATGGAATGGTTTGGGTTGGAAGAGACCTTAAAGATCACCTCAATCCACCCTCCTGCCATAGGCAGGGACACCTTCCACTAGACCAGGTTGCTCCAAGCCCCATTCAACCTGGCCTTGAACACTTCCAGGGATGGGGCAGCCACAGCTTCTCTGGGCAACCTGTGCCAGGGCCTCACCACCCTCACAAGGAAGAATTTCTTCCTAATATGCAATCCAACCCTGCCCTCTGTCAGTGTGAAGCCATTCCCCCTTGTCCTGCCACTCCAGGCCTAAACAGTCTCTTTCCCTCTTTCCTGTAGACCCCCTTCAGGTCCTGGAAGGCCGCAATTAGGTCACGCCAGAGCCCTCTCTTCTCCAGGCTGAACAATCCCAGTTCCCTCAGCCTTTCCTCATTGGAGAGCTGCTCCATCCCTCTAATCATCTTGGTGGCCTTCTCTCGACTCACTCCAACAGGTCCATGTCCTTCCTGTGCTGGGACAGGGGGTAAGCCCAAACCACCCCCTGCCACACCAGGACCTGCACAAACAAAACCCCAGCTCACGCACCAAGGGACAACGAACCGCCGGAGCTGCAGCAGAGCCAATGCCACTATTGACAGTGATAATGTCCCTCTGACTGTTTGTCCCAAGGCAGCAGCGTCCCTGTCCTCGTGTGCACAGGCTGACAGGGCCAGCCGCTGGAAAACACAACTGCTCTCCAGCCTGGATAAACATGCAGAGCTCCCTCGGATTGTTCATTTGCACAGACATTAATCACCACCAGAGCCCACCTCAGCTGCACTCCTTGTGCAACTTTTATTCTCTCAAAGGTGTGTATTTTCATAATGATGGTGCTCATGTACCACTTAACAGTATATTTCCATTTGGCCCCAGCCACCTTCCTGAGCAGTAATTTATTACTGGCTGCTACTGAGAGTAACACACAAACTAGGGTTATTTGGTCTGCTTGGTATTTCTTGCTTGACTCTTTCTTGCACAGACAATACTGCTGAAGGCCAGAGAGTCACAAATCAAAACAGCCAAGTTTCTGGGCCTTCCAGTTGCACTTGTATTGTACTTCCCAACTTTTTGTCTGCAAGAGCTAAAAAATTTCCTTTATTCCTCCTTTTTTAATGGAAGTAGGGACTGCTTTTTAATGGTAGTCTGACTGCTCTAGGAGCTGCAAGTGTACAGTGAACACCTGTGTGGACATGAAAATGTGAGAAAAGTACTCAGGGCCTGCCCAATGCTGATTTTATTGCTTAAGGACCTGATTCAATATACCAGATATGGCCAGGGGTTGTGCTGCAAATTAACTGCAGAGCTCTCTACCTGCAAAGCAGCATGGGGCTGCTGCTGTCCCAGTGCTGCACCTTAACCCTGCTGGGGTGTACAAGGGCACAGTTCAGATTTTAAGCAGCCAAAACCAACAGTCAGAAGCTGGAATAAAAACAAGAAAAGCTCTTTTGCAGGGAGTATCGGGAAATTTGGAGGCCCGCAGAGAACAAAAGCTCCCCCCTATTAGTTTCCCTTACAGAGAAAAATAAAAACTAAATAAAGGAAGAAAAGCATGATTTTACTATTTGCAAACAATTTTTTACCTCAGACTTGGTAAACAAGTGTTTTGTCTCTGCCCCTGTGTAAGCTCCATGAGAGGATTTTCCACAGATGAAATTCCAGTGAGTATTCCTGTGAAAAATTAATTGTCCTTATTGCACCACCTTTCACTGCAATGAGGCATTGCCTCACCTACACCTCATTTTTCACCTGTGTACTAAGCTGGGTATCCTATCACTCCTGTCACTGAGGAGGCCCCACAAAACCTTTTACCCTGGCCTAAAGGTGCTTGGCCTGCACACACCAGGCTGGTGGCCACCTTCCCTGTCCCCACGGGGACCTGGGGAGCAGGGTCACCACCAGCTACAGCCCAGGTGGGGCACAGGGGGGCTGTGCCCCCTGCTCACCCCAGCACTGCTGCCCTGTGCCTGCCTGTCCCCCATGCCCGCAGGCTGTGCACCCACACACACATGTACATACATATGTATGTGGATATGTACATATGTATGTGTATATGTGTCCAGCTCTGGGCTCATCAGCACAAGAAAGACAAGGAGCTACTGGAGAAGGCCCAGCGGAGGCCGCAAAGATGATGAAGGGTCTGGAGCATCTCTCCTATGAGGAGAGACTGCAGGAGCCGGGCCTGGTTAGTCTGGAGAAGACTGAGAGGGGATCTCATGAATACATATAAAATCTCTAAGGTGGGTGTCAAGAGGAGGGTGCCCAGACTCTTTTCAGTGGTGCCCAGTGACAGCATAAGGAACAATGGCCATAAACTAAAACATAAGTTCCACCTCAACACGAGGAAGAAGTTGCTTCCATGGAGGGTGGCAGAGCACTGGAACAGGCTGCCCAGGGTGGTTGTGGAGTCTCCCTCTCCAGAGATATTTCAAGCCCACCTGGACACGTTCCTGTGTCACCTGCTCCAGGTGACCCTGCCTGGATAGGGGAGTTTGACTGCAGGATCTCCAGAGGTCCTTTCCAACCCCGGCTATTCTGTGATTCTGTATGTGTGATGCATCCCTGTCTGTGGCACATACACGCACTGCGCACACGTGTAGCGGGAGCACCCGCGGGCACACACGTGTCGCACACACAACACGTCCGACCACGGGGCACTTGCACCGCACACCCTCTGTGGCGCACCGAGGACACGCGTGTGTCCCAGACACACGTGCCCGCACCCCCGGCCGGGGCACCGCCGCCCCTCTCCATTCCCCGCCCCGCCCGGGCCGCCCCCTCCGGCTCCCGCCCCCGTGCACCCAAATCCCGCCGGGCCGCCGCCGCTCGGTCCTTTCCTGCCTCCCCGCCCTCCTGCACCCACCGACGGCGCCATGGCCGCCCGGCAGCAGCTCGGTAACGCGGGGCGGGCGCGGCCGCCGATGGCCGCAGGGAGGGTGTGCGTGAGGGCGGTGGGGGGGCTGCCCGCCCGCCGGCCTCGAAATGGCCGCCACTTCCACTCAACAGGGCGGCCCCGGAAGGCGCCTCAGCGCGGGGCCGCCGCTTCCATCCCGGTGGTTCCCGGGCTGTGTGTTTGCGGGGCGGGAAGGCACTGCTTTCCCCTCGGGACGGTTATACCTCGTTTTGGGCGCGGGGTGATGAAGTTCGGGCTCCGGCAGGCGGGAGGACCGGAGGCGATGGTGTCCCGCGCTTTCCGCGCCCTGAGGCGCGGGCGGCAGCGTTGCCCCCGCCCGCCTCAGGGGTCCCGCCTCAGGGGTCCCGCCTCAGGGGTCCCGC